GAGAGAGAGAAGAGAGAGAGAGAGAGAGAGGAGAGAAAGAAAGAAAGAAAGAAAGAAAGAAAGAGAAGAAGAGAGAGAGAGAGAGAGAGAGAGAGAGAGAGAGAGAGAGAGAGAGAGAGAGAGAGAGAGAGAGAGAGAGAGAGAGAGAGAGAGAGAGAGAGAGAGAGAGAGAGAGAGAGAGAGAGAGAGAGAGAGAGAGAGAGGGGAATCGTTTCTGACAAAAGTTTCGCCTCAATTTCCATCAATTTTGGAGGGAATCGATGCCACGATATCCTTGCCAATATTCCAATTGCAATATAACCCAAACTGGAGAGCTTTCCTGCTGTGGCAAAATTTCTCCGGTCTAACCTTGAAAAACAAAAACAAAACAAAAACAACAACAACAACAATAACAGAAACAGCTGGACGAAATGCGTTCTGAAAATGTGTTATATCAACATGTCTTAAATCTCGTCTTGTCTTATAAACAAAAAAATAATAATCTTTATTCTAATCGGATTCATAAGTCAACTATCTGAATGATATAAAATCCTTGTAATGAATCACGCCTTTTCTTTTACCCCGCAACAAAATGATAATAATAATGATAATGAAAATAATAACAAATACGTCTATATACCAAAATGCATATCTAAAAACAGTTCAAATATATCCTCCCTACCCACAAAAAAATCTTTGCATAGGCCTATTAAAACTAATTCTTAATGATAGCTCAGATTAGCACTTCCCAAGCTTAACAACAACAACAACAACAAAGCCCATTCTCACTCCTCAAAACGAACACATTTTTCTTCCTCACTTAATCCCCATAAATATCATCATAACTATCACCCCTCTTATCATTACCCCTATCAATATAACCATCATAATTACTACCACCATTACAACCATAATTAAACCAATCCTCATCCTCATTAGCACAATAAACCTCCTTATTTTTACTCACTCGTGAATTCGTCCTGATCTTCGGCTTCGGCTTCGGCTGCGAGTTCCTCTGGCGTTTTCTTCTTCCTCATAAGCGGGTTATCTGGCATGGCGGGTTCTTCGGGGACGATCTCTTCTTTCTTTTTGATGTTGTACTGAAAAGAGGGAAAGGGGGAGACGTTAAGAAAGAGGGGAAATGGGTGGAAATTTAGATTAAGAAATGGGTGGATGGATGGGTGGGTGGATGGATGGATTGAGGGATAGATGGATGAGGAATGAGGTAGAGATGGATGGGGGTGGATGGAGAGGAATAGGTCATGAATGGGACAGGTTAAGCGGGGAAATGGGTGGAAATTTAGATTAAGAAATGGGTGGATGGATGGGTGGATGGATGGAGAAATAGGTGATGAATGGGTGTGGGAGAGGTTAAGAAAGAGGGGAAATGCGAGAGATTAAGATTAAGAAATGGGTGGATGGATGGATGGATGGATGGATAGAGGGATGAGGAATGGGTAGATGGATGGATAGATGGATAGATGGGAGGAATGGGTGTGGATGGATGAGGAATAGGTGATGAATGGGGTGTGGGGAGACGTTAAGAAAGAGGGGAAATGGGTGGAATTGAGATTAAGAAATGGGTGGATGGATGGAGATGGTGGATAGAATGGATGAGGAATGGGTAGATGGTATGGGTAGGTGGGATGAGGATGTAATGGATGGGGAGAGGTTAAGAAAGAGGAGAAGAAATGCGAGAGATTAAGATTAAGAAATGGGTGGATGGATGATGGATGGATAGATGGATGAGGAATGGGGTAGATGGATGGATGAGGAGTGGAGAGATGGTGGGTGGGAGAGGTTAAGAAAGAGGGAAGAAGAAATGGATGGAATTTAGATTAAATGGGTGGATGGAATGGAGAGGGATAGATGGATAGATGGATGGGTGGGTGGGGAGAGGTTAAGAAAAAGGGAGAAATGGGTGGAATTGAGATTAAGAAAATGGGGTGGATGCGTAAATGGGTGGATGATGGGTGAAGGGTTGGAGGATATATGAATTGGTGGATGGATGGAGGATAGAGAGATAGGTGATAAATGGGTGATTTTAGATGGATGGATGGGTGGATGGAGGGATAGAGGGATGGGTGATTGGATGAAGGGATAGAGGGATAGGTGATGAACGGTGAATTTTAGATGGATGGATAGGGTGGATGGGAGGGATGGAGATGATAAAGGTGTGGATGGATAGATTATGAATAGGATGGTCAGTAATATTAATATAATGGATGATGAATGATGATGAATGGAGATGAATGGATAGATAATGGAATAGAAGCGAAAAAGAGAATGGATAGATGATTATCTCAACATGAACATTCTTTACATGCTAATATATACACATATATGAACACATACACATATACACATACACGCACACACATACATACAAAAAAAGGCACTTAACACATACAAAAGAACTTACACACTAATACACAAACATACACAACTTTACACTGATAACGAGAAACAATAATTTTTTTGATAATTTTCAATACGATTTCGCCATTCCCCATTACCCCCC